TTTTGAATTTGAATTTAGGATTGAACTACCTAAATAGTTCGAGTTTGTTTTTGAGCTCGATTTTGAATTTGAATTTGAATTGAGGATTGAACTATCTAAATAGTTCGAGTTTGTTTTTGAGCTCGATTTTGAATTTGAGTCTACGCTCGAGTTAGAGATTTTTTTTTATTTGTTTCGAACTCATATATTTTTATTGTGGGGATAAATACCCTTTCCTCTTCATCGTTCGTATTTATTACCCGTAGATACGCTCTCCCGTTTTTTACTTTAACTAAGGCATCTCCTAAGTAAATACCTTTTATTACATTTAGTCGCGGGACGTATCCTTCGTTTAATCGTGGGTTGACGATTCTGATATGCATTTGCGCAATAGTGTAGGGATCAGAAGTGGGATGGTAGGTGATCCTGGCAAATGATGTGGGAAATGTGCTCGGATAGTTTCCAAAAGGTTTATTAACAGAACGCTCGAGACACTCCTGCTTGTAGCACGCTCTCGCTTCGACTCTCTAGAATCTTCTCCTCGCCGATTCTCCACATCGCAAAACAATCGCACGCGCGCCGCCGGTCCTTATTTTTTGAGATCGTCCTCTGTTACTCTCGCGACTCGCGCCTCATCGATCACGTTCGACTCGCCGCCCCTCTCGCAACAGCCCAAGCCGGACTTGACAAAGATATTATAGCAGCACACACAGACATTCGCTCCACAGATTTCATACTACAATAGTTCTCGGAAGAATAACCAAAATTTCTTCCTTTTCTTCAAAAGGGCTGGAAATGTCGTTCCACTCTAACTGATTTAGTTGATAATTGACCTTGGCCCTGAATTGTCTAAAGAAATCTGATCCCGGAATCCCGTTTTGTGGAGTCGAAAAATGATCTTCGACTAAATGAAAAGTGACTGGACATCCTAAGAGATATCTATCAGTGCCCTAAGGTGGTCACGTGATGCGTCGTAATTCCACTCAATTTCAGAATCTCGTTCCTATCCACCACGGTGTCTGGTGTTTTCAGACTTCTTGAATCTCTGCTCTTCTTTGGCTGCCTCCCGTTCTTTCTCCTCTTCCACGAGGAACTTCGGGGAGTCCTTGCCAAATATGCGCTTGTACTCCTGTGGGAGGAGAAAATCTTCCGGTTTCGGCGCCTCTAGCCGATTACGGTGAATGAAACAGTAGCCTGTCTTAACATCAGGCTTAGCTGCCTCATCACCACGCTTATTATTACGCTGACGGGAGGTAGATCTGTCTCGGCGCAATTTTCCTTTTCTTCAAAAGGGATGGAAATGTCGTTCCACTCTAACTGATTTAGTTGATAATTGACCTTGGCCCTGAATTGTCTAAAGAAATCTGATCCCAGAATCCCGTTTTGTGGAGTCGAAAAATTATCTTCGACTAAATGAAAAGTGACTGGACATCCTAAGAGATATCTATCAGTGCCCTAAGGTGGTCACGTGATGCGTCGTAATTCCACTCAATTTCAGAATCTCGTTCCTATCCACCACGGTGTCTGGTGTTTTCAGACTTCTTGAATCTCTGCTCTTCTTTGGCTGCCTCCCGTTCTTTCTCCTCTTCCACGAGGAACTTCGGGGAGTCCTTGCCAAATATGCGCTTGTACTCCTGTGGGAGGAGAAAATCTTCCGGTTTCGGCGCCTCTAGCTGGTTACGGTGAATGAAACAGTAGCCTGTCTTAACATCAGGCTTAGCTGCCTCATCACCACGCTTATTATTACGCTTACGGGAGGTAGATCTGTCTCGGCGCAATTTTCCTTTTCTTCAAAAGGGATGGAAATGTCGTTCCACTCTAACTGATTTAGTTGATAATTGACCTTGGCCCTGAATTGTCTAAAGAAATCTGATCCCGGAATCCCGTTTTGTGGAGTCGAAAAATGATCTTCGACTAAATGAAAAGTGACTGGACATCCTAAGAGATATCTATCAGTGCCCTAAGGTGGTCACGTGATGCGTCGTAATTCCACTCAATTTCAGAATCTCGTTCCTATCCACCACGGTGTCTGGTGTTTTCAGACTTCTTGAATCTCTGCTCTTCTTTGGCTGCCTCCCGTTCTTTCTCCTCTTCCACGAGGAACTTCGGGGAGTCCTTGCCAAATATGCGCTTGTACTCCTGTGGGAAGAGAAAATCTTCCGGTTTCGGCGCCTCTAGCCGATTACGGTGAATGAAACAGTAGCCTGTCTTAACATCAGGCTTAGCTGCCTCATCACCACGCTTATTATTACGCTGACGGGAGGTAGATCTGTCTCGGCGCAATTTTTCTTTTCTTCAAAATAGATGGAAATGTTCCACTCTAACTGATTTAGTTGATAATGGACCTTGGCCCTGAATTGTCTAAAGAAATCTGATCCCGGAATCCCGTTTTGTGGAGTCGAAAAATGATCTTCGACTAAATGAAAAGTGACTGGACATCCTAAGAGATATCTATCAGTGCCCTAAGGTGGTCACGTGATGCGTCGTAATTCCACTCAATTTCAGAATCTCGTTCCTATCCACCACGGTGTCTGGTGTTTTCAGACTTCTTGAATCTCTGCTCTTCTTTGGCTGCCTCCCGTTCTTTCTCCTCTTCCACGAGGAACTTCGGGGAGTCCTTGCCAAATATGCGCTTGTACTCCTGTGGGAGGAGAAAATCTTCCGGTTTCGGCGCCTCTAGCCGATTACGGTGAATGAAACAGTAGCCTGTCTTAACATCAGGCTTAGCTGCCTCATCACCACGCTTATTATTACGCTTACGGTAGGTAGATTTGTCTCGGCGCAATTTTGCGACCGAGGTGCTCAGAGACTGGATCTGCCTGGTGAGCTTATCGATCCGCTCGTGGGATCGGGGTTCTCTTTGTCCCATCCTGGAGGATAATCCGTGATATCCACCATTACTGGCTTGAGTGCTTGAACTGCCCGAGCTAACACCTCTGCTGGGTCGTGATCCACTGACCCCCATATCTCAGCTTCTGTAGTGTGTATCTCTCTATCCCCTCGATCCACACTCTTAAGCCAGAAGTCTGACACTTGCGCTAAAGGCACCTCTCTTAGAGGTTAGCGCGGCCGTTGTGGTCTCATACTACAGATTTCCCTTACTATTAACTCCAGAGCACTGGGCCCAGAGTGTTCGTTGGGAGGGCCCCGTCGACGGACAACAGCCCTCCCAGGAAACCTTTAGGAGACCTTTTAAACCTTGTTGTGGTACGCGGGTTAAGTAGTGCGACGACTCCACACCCCTTACCAATACAGGAGACCCCTTTTAACCGGTTTTTGACATCGTGATTAGCAGAACTCACAAAAAAGATAAAATGTGTTACAAAATTCTTTTTAATAATATTTGGCCCCGATCCACTGTCTACAAGAAATTTTAATTTGCTTTTAAAACTTTGGCCTTCTAATTTTATAGATGGAACGTCTTCTATTTCGGTTAGATTTATTGTTCGCTCTCTGATTCCGGTTTCCCCGAAATTACTCTGTCAGGTAAAGACGTGATTGATTTGCCGATTAAGTAATGGGCAGGAGTTAACACTAGCATGTCGTTCGGATCGGAAGAAATAGATGTTATCGGTCTTGAATTTAGTATGCATTCGATTTCGACGGTAAACGTGTTCAACTCTTCGAACTTAAATAGAGTGTCGCCCACGACGCGTTTGAAATGGTGTTTGAATAGTTTGACTGTCGACTCCCAGAATCCTCCGAAATGCGGAGCTAGGGGCGGTATAAAATGCCAGGAAATACACGATTCGTTCGCGTACTTATTTACGAGTTTTATGTGTTCGTTAGAGTTGAACAAAGCATATAGTTTCTTTAATTGATTATTGGCCGTTAAACCGATAAAATTAGTTCCGTTATCTGAATAAATGTGTTCGGGAATTCCGCGTCTCGCAACGAAGCGTCGTAATGCAGCGAGAAAACCGTCCGAGGATAGATCACTTACGACCTCGAGATGTACTGCCTTTATGCACATACAGACGAACACGCATACGTAAACCTTAACTCGATTCCAGTTTCGATGTTTCTTCTCTTTCATATAAAATGGTCCGCAAAAATCAATGCCGGTATGGGTGAACGGTGCAGCCTCGCGTACGCGGTTAGGTGGAAGATTCCCCATTTTATATTCGACTTCCGTCGGATCGAATCGCGTGCAACGATATACATTTGCGATTTACCTTGCGCACTTGATTTCTGCCGTCAAGTAACCGTAATTTTTGTCTAATCATGTCTAATGTAGTTTGAATTCCTGTGTGGTAATATCTTTCGTGCGTTTCGCGTATAATCTTTTTGGTAAGATAATGTCGACTCGGAATTAATATTAGGTGTTTTTGCGCGAATGTTAAGTTTGACGATTTAAGATGTCCTCCAACGCGAATTAAACCATCTTCGTTTAAAAAGGGGTCCAAGTTCGCGATTTTGCCCTTGTAAATGGGTTGCTTATTTTTTAATTTCTCAAGTTCGTCAGCGAATTGAATGGCTTGATAGATTTTTAATATCCGTACTTCGGCCTCGTTTAACTCCCCCAACCATAATGACCCGCTATATTTGTTAGATTTTCGTAGTCGGAGACAATAAGCTACGATTTTACATAATTTAGCATACGACGAATACCATTTGAGTATGTTAAAGTCTCTAAACATTGTCGTTAGACAAGTATTTCCTTTTAATTTAGACATTTCGATAGTTTGTAAAATTTCGTTAGGCCAATTGTTCTCGGTTTTAATTAACCAAAAGAAGGTCCAGCCCGCCAAAGGTCATTTCGTATGAATGAGTGGGGTAATTGTCCCCTTGAAATCGCATCGGCTGGATTATCTCCAGATCTTTTATGACGCCAATCGATCGCGTTAGTAATTTCTTAAATTTCCGCAACCCGATTCGCGACGTAAGTTTTAAATAGATGTGGAGATATTTTCAGCCAATTCAACACAATGGTTGAATCGCACCAAAAGACAATTTTATTCAGCGAGAAATTCAAAGCACTGACTATTTCGTTATATAATCGTGCTAAAAGTAACGCACCGCATAATTCTAGCCGAGGGATAGTGACTGTTTTGAGTGGAGCTACTCGAGATTTGGCGCACACTAATCTACTGATGATTTTTTCATTTTCTCCGACAGATTAAAGGTATAAGCTCCGTAACCGGTATTGCTGGCATCACAAAATCCATGTAGCTGGATGTTCTGGCATTTTTCTGATAATATCTTGCGATCGAGAGTAACCCGTTTTAGTGATTCCAATTGTCGAACGAATTCTAATCATTCGGTGTAAGTGGACTGTGGGATAGATTCGTCCCAGTGTGCCTTGCTTTTCCACACGTCCTGTATCAGTCATTTTGCGTATAAGATCACAGGTCCTAAAAGACCTATTGGATCATAAATTTTCGCGATTTCTGACAAGATTTTTCTCTTTGTTCTGAAATTTTAATCGGGTGAGTTGAATAACATATTTCATCGTCGGTGGTGTCCCACGTGATGCCTAACGTTTTTAGAACAATCGTCTGCCAGTATGTAGTTAGCGTGTAACGCGTGGCTCGGTAAATCGTCGACTGTGCGTGCGTATTTCGAGGCCCATTGTCTAATGTGAAAACCGCCGCGTGCCAGCAAGGCTATTATTTCGTTTCTAATATCTCGAATTTGGTCAATAGACTCGCCGTCGCTTAATAGATCGTCTACATATAAATCGTCTTTAAGGACCTTGGCTGCATTAGAAAATACGTGACCTTCGTCTTCCGCGAGTTTTTGGAGAGCACGGATTGCGAGAAACGGTGACGACGGAAACTCCATATGTAAGCGTGTTTAATTGATAGGTCTTTACTACACCGTCTTCGCGCTACAGAATTTGTTGATATCGACGGTCTTCCTTGTGCAACAGTACCTGTCGATACATTTTCTCTATGTCCGCGGTAATTACGTAGTTGTAGGTGCGGAATCGAATCAAATGTGAAAAGAGTTTATTCTGCATCGTGGGCCCTATCATTAGGGTATCATTCAACACACCGTTCGTAGATTTCGCTGACACATCGAATACGATACGAACCTTAGTGGTGTTGCTCGCTTCCTTGATAATGGCGTGGTGAGGCTTGTAAAAACCATCATCATCGGGAGAATTCACTAAAGACATATGACCTAGTTTTTTGTATTCTTCGATCATCCGCGTGTATTCGGTTTTTAAAGACGGATTTCAATCTAGTTTGCGTATTAATGTCGATAGGCGTTTAAGCGCGATGGACCGTGATTCGCCCATATGAACGTTGGGATCGCGAAACGGAAGACGGAAGACGAACAACGTAACGTCGTTGATCCTGCGAGTGAGACGCTCCTGAGGTTCGTACTGTTGCCTCGTATTGGGTCGATAACGGCGTTGGCTATCGTTATGGTTCCTGTTTCATGTAATTTTCGGCAGGCTTGCTCTCCTATTTCTTGTATTTATTTTCTCCTGCCATTGTGAACGATAGATACGTGGGAGTGCATTCCACAATAATGTATCGTTCGATCGACTTCTACCTTGCACTGGATTGCCGAGATTTGGTCGAAGTCTGAGAGTTGCATGAGTTGAATGTAAGATTCTTCTTTATTTGGTTCGATGTTGTCCATATCGCAATTTCCGATGTCAAGAAGTGATAGCGTGGTGATATTGAGACTTTCACCTCCGCAATCATAGCCGATTAGGCGGTCGCAAACGGCAGTAAAATCAATGTAGCGAATTGGAGCATGCTTGCTGGTGTTACGAGCGTACGAGTCGCGGGCCAAGAAAATGGTTGTCCGGACTATAATACGTCGAGTACAGGGTTACCCAATTGATTATGATTTTAAAACACAATTGGAATCGAAAAATTTTGATTTTTGGTCTACCGGCAAAAATGATTTCTTATACTCCCGTGCTCCTCCCGTGAGCAATAATAGTTGCCTCTTTCGAGTCGAAAGGATGGTCACCTGACGATAAAATATATCTGCAGAAGCGCGACACTTCGGCAGAGCAATCGCTGCACTCGGATGCAAAGCGAATGAGAAATAGCTGGTCGCGGCACTTATTACACTCACTGTGTTAGCGATTCTCGCTAGGAGAGTTCGCTGGTACCGCTGCGGATGGAAGCAGGGTGAGAGGACTTAGCGGTAAGAGGCTCAAGGAAAGAATGCACGCGTGAGAGGGTGGAATATTACGTGATCATAACTCGGTGGTTTTGAGTAAAATACCGTATCACAACTTTAATAATCATAGTATGCTTACAGTTGAGAAGTCTATGAGTATGACGGGAACGAAAAGTCCTTAATCACTTGCACGGTTCGATATTACTGATCGAGAGCCGGCCTCGTGAATGTAGATGCCCGTGAGCCGTGTCCACGCGGCGCCGGCGTGCGATGCGTGGTGAGCCTGAGCTGCCTTGATGCTGTATCTTGAGCTGTCCTGGATGATTCGCACTGCTGAGAGTTCACTACGTGTCCGCACTGAGTCAAGTCTCGGATGAGAAGGTCCACAAGAGCACTCAAAAGTCTTTTGCACTACACGACGCGTGTACTATGTACGGTAGCCATGAGCCAAAAGCCCCGGTAACGCACGTGAAGAAGCGACGTCGCTTCGTGTCGCGATCGGGCATGCGCGCGCAGCGCTCATGCGGCGCTGCACGATCTGACCCGGCTGATGCTGCCATCACGCCGGTGACGAACTGACCGAGATGCAGAAATGAATCTCGAACACACTGAAATAAGGTTCAATGCTGCTAATGTAAAGGAACTGTCGGGAATTTCCGACGAAACGTTCCCTTTCTTCGTTATTCAAATTTGTATAGCAATAAGTGCAGATAAAATCTCGCGATCGAGGGTCGCGGTGTCCTACTTCGAGGACGCAGACCGCAGAGTTTATCCAATTATCAATATTCATCGGAATGAAAATTAAAAGCAAGGTAGAAAGTCATGCGACTTACCTTGGATGGGCCTTAGGGCGGCCTTTGCTATTGCTCGTTGTCGGAGTCTCTCGACTTTGTCGTCGATAGGGCGTTCTTCCTTCAGAGCGACAGGGCTGTATTGGCTCGTGGCTCCTGCTGTTTTAGTGCGATAATACTTGACGCGTTTCGCGGGCACTGAAGCCAGCGCGTTGATAATACGCTTTCAGAGATGAGGTTGGCTTCGATAGAAGATTCAACAATAATTCTTGTTTACAATTAAAATTACAATTTATTCAAGTAAAACTTACACAAAAGTAAACTTATACTACTTGATTTAATGTTACAATGTAAAGATTTGATTGAGTCGTAGTATGAGAGAATGTCGCGGCTAACCGGACGCGTGGAATTGAGAATTGAATTGGAGAACTACGACTCGGAACTAAGACTTAGAATTGAGATTGAGATGCGCGCACGGTTTGCGTGCATCTCGGCAACGGACGTCTACGACGACGGACTAACTCGCTAGACTACTGACTTATTGTTAGGACTAACGTTTGCTCGCTACGCTCGCTTCCATACTCCGCGCGCGGTCGGGTGGCTCTCTCATTGGTCGCCTCGCTAGGCGGGTCGCCGCGGGAGTGGGGGTAACTGCGCGTGAGGGATTGGAACGGCGGGAGGTGGGCGTGGTCAGGAGTCCCTTGGCGTGGGGACCTGGGCGAGAGGAAATGGTGCCGTAAAAATGGCGGGTCTCCGGCAGCGCGAGGCGCGAACGTGTATATGTATTACGTGTATGGAAATGTCGCGCATGGAAATGAATATGACTAGGGCTATTGCGTGCCGGAGTTCGGTAGGAAAAGAAGGAGATTACGAAGGACAAATATTCGTCGAGCGTTCACTTAAGTTCTAACGGGAATGTCACACTGGTCACCGGGTGGTGCTGTACTGCCGGCTGGTCCCTCCGATGGCCGGTGGGCGGAGTCTTCTTGGTAGTGGGGGGGGGGGCTGCCTTCAGCTTGTCGGTATGTACGACTCGAGTGGCATTTGCGCTTATTCTAAGTTTCACATTGTTATTTTCTAAAACTTCTATGATTACATATGGACCTACATATTGGTCCTCTAATTTTTTAGTGGGCTCTCTTAACAGATAGACCCAATCTCCTTTAGTAAAAGTACTTAAAGGATTAAGTTTTTTATCATAATATCTTTTTGACCTTTCTTTTGCGGTCTTCAGGTT